GGCGCGGGTTGATGCTGTGAACGTCGCGGGGGCGGAAGCGCTTCCGCCAGGACGGGGTGCGACGGAAGGTCTTGTCATCACCCTGGGAGGGGAGAGCAGGTTATGGATATGCAGTCATCCTCGTAGAGTCGTCAGGCTTGGAAGGGACCTCTGGAGATCATCCAGTCCAACCCCCCTGCTGGAGCAGGATCCCCTAGAGCAGATCCCACAGGAACAGGTCCAGGTGCGTCTGGGATGTCTCCAGGGATGGAGACTCCAGCACCTCCCTGGGCAGCCTGTCCCAGGGCTCTGCCACCCTCACACTAAAGAAGTTTTTTCTCATGTTTATCTTGACTCTCCTGTGCTCCAGTTTGTGCCCATTGCCCCTTGTCCTGTCACTGGGCACTGCTGGGAAGAGTCTGGACCCATCCTGCTGACACCCCTAGAGATATTGAGGAGGGTTGATGAGATCCCCTCTCAGTCTCCTCCTCTCCAGCTGAACAGCCCCAGCTCTCAGGTCAGCAGGACCTTCTGCCCTGTGAGGTACCAGCACTGCTGCCAGCTAACAAGGGTGGGCCTGTACCTGGAAACCAACTCAAACCATGTAGAAATGTGTGACCAAATTGGACCAAGGTCATAGAAGAACTCTCCATGATCCCATGACATAGGCTTTGTCCTTCCCAGCTTACCTATGTCTTCTCTCCAGCCTTCCTGCAAAGATGCCTTGGAGACATCAACACACAAAGCCTAGGAAAGACCCCAAGGGTTGGATCTAGTCTTGGTGAGATAATGGCATCTGGAAGGGCACACCTCTCTGTGCTCTGAAGAGCCCTGACTGGCTCTGTCAGTCTTCTCATGGAGAAGACCCAACCAGAGGAGGGATCTACACGAATGACCACCCTCTGTGACTCAACATTACCAGTTTTCTGGCTGCTTAACAAGGCACGTCTCACCCACCAGCTTTATCCACTGCAGACGTGTCATGCCCAAAACATCCATGACTCCAAAAGCCCAAGTAAGGCAGGTGAACCCACTTGAAACTGAGCCCACTGAGCACGAGACTAGAAATGATGCACAAGACCCTTCCTCACCTGCCTACACAGCCTGGAAGCACCTTTCTGAGGGCTTTGACTAATAGTTTTAGCTTATTCCACTGCTCCTGCTCATGTGGCTGCTCTGGACAGTCTGTGACACACTGTTTGACACCCCTGGACAAGTAGGCAGAGAGCAGAGGTCCTGTCTCTCCTGTTTCTCCCCCAAGAGCAAGAGGTCAGCATGATGTGGACATGGGAGAGGTCTGGTACTCACATCATCCAACCTCCGATCTGTGCCCAGGGCCAGCAGGTTGTTGAACTCCCTCTCCAGCACTTGTCGAGCCTGAAATTCACAACAAATCAGCATTCCCTGTCGATGGAAACAGTTTCCAGCCCAAACTCCCATCCCAGAAAACCCCAAGAATGACAGTGAAGAAGCCCAGGTGCCACCTGAGCGCTCTGCTCTGACGGGCAGAGCTGAGCTGGTGGCACTGCAGGAGTCACTCACTGCCCTGTCCCACACTGGCCACCCTCCTCCCAAGCCCCTCAGAGATGCTGCTCTCACCTGCGTGTTCTGCGTGGGGATTTGCAGGACCAGGGCCAGGCTGTTGTGGTCGAAGTTCTCGTCGAGGGCCAGGAGGGCCCCGTGCACCCCGCTCTCCACCAGGTTGTTCCCGTACTCGCGGAGCCCGATGGACTGGATCCAGTGGATCACCTGGTCGTTGGTCCACACTAGGACGTCTGTAAAAGAGAGAGGGGTTGTCTCAGGGCCAGCTCAGACCACGCTTTTGGTTGTGTGGGGACCTGATGATGTCCTGAAGCCCCTTGGCATCTCCCCAGGCTGATGCTGGGGCTCTCCTCCTGGATTCAGCAGCAGTGTCAGATGCTCGGCTGCCAGGACCTGCTCACTGCAATTTACCAGACTAAACGATGAAATAACAGGCAGGAGACAACTGTGAAAATTAATCCTCAGCACCCACGGCTGCTGATGTAATTAGGGGCATTATCAATAATGAGATGTAAGCAGCTGCCAGACGTGCCAGGAATCTCAGGACAGCCAAGGACAGGGAGGCTGAGCAAGCTGAGGGTCGTCCTGAGCATCTGAAATGGGCAGGAGAAGATGTTCTGATGCTTGGACTGGACCTTTTCTGTCTTGGCAGCCTTTCTCCCTGCTCATGTCTGGCTGGGATAGGCTGCACAAAGGCCCTTGGAGAAACCTGTTGGGGAAACACCACCGGGAGGTCCCCCTGGAGCACAGAACCATGGACATGGTTGCTCAGAAAGGAGGATTTTCCCCAGGTAAAGGCTGTGTTGAAAATAAGGGTTAGACACCATTGCTGGGCATCTCCTGGGAGGTTTCCCATGTTTTCCAGAGCTGGGTTGTGTCAGTGCCTGCTGACCTTTGATTTCATGTTGGGTCTCTTCTCGCCTCCTCTCGAGCTCTTTGCGGTCGTAGTTGAGCCTCTTCAGGCACATGATGCCATATTGCAGGCTGGTGCTGCAAGGACAGGAGACCATTAAATCCCAGACTGGTTTGGGTTGGAAGGGACCTTAATGATCATCTAGTTCCAAGTCCCTGCCATGGGCAGGGACACCTCCCACCAGACCAGCTTGCTCACATCACCCAACCCTCAGGAGGTCTCTGCATGGTGGGGCTTGGAGGGACTTGCTTCCCTGCTTGCTGTCCATCTGCCCAAAGGATGCTTTGGATCATGATTGGGTCAGGACAGACACAACCTACAGGAAAGATCTTAGCTGGAAAAAGAGGAATGTCCTTCCTTTCCATGGGAATTCCACAGTCCATCAGTTTTGCCCTATTCTACCTGCCTGAGATCCAAATAACACTGCTCAGTGGCTGGAGAGGGAAGGGAGAACCAGCCTGTGGGGGCTGCTCCAGGCTGAAGGGTTCATCTCCAGAGCAGGGAGGGTCCTGCCAGGCCCATGGACACAGTCCTGTGGGTTGGGGAGGATTCTGAGAACCCATGACAGGGCTGGACATGGTTGGGCTGCTGACAGATGACTGCTCTGCCCTCCAGTGGGGTACACTTGTCCCCCAGGTGGGACAAGCCTTGATCTTACCCATGGCTTGCTCCACAGCCTGGAGAAGGCTTGGTCCTCTGCAATTTTGCTACAAGGACCATGATGAAGGACATTTGCCCATATGAGCTGCCCCAGACCAGGTGGTTGAGTTTAGCCTGGAAGAGCCATCCTCCAGCACCAGGGCTGGCCAAGACAGGGCAGCGCCCCTCAGATCGTTCCATCCTCTGCTCCATGTGCAGACACTGCACCCCAGGGACCTCCTGGAGGAGAAGACTCACCGGTGGAAGCTGTCCACCATCTTCAAGTGCACTCTGAGATCTTTCTTGGTGAGGTGGTCCAGCATCCGTGCATCAACCAGACACTCCATGAAGTAGCTGCGATACTGAGGGAGACCCAGGCTGGGCAACCACTCGTTCCCAATCCACTCATGGTTCATGTCCCCATAGGCCAGTGTCTGTGGAGAAGCATATAGAGAAGCTAGGAAGGAACCAGGGCTTGGTGGAGCTGCAGACTCCTAGAAAACCAATGAGAGTTCAGTGCTGCAGCCTGGGGGTCACTGTGAGGACCAAACCTGGGCCAGAGGAGTTTAACCCTGGTTTGTATTGAAGGAGCTGGAGGGAGAAGTCCCATTAGCCAAGGTCTTTGTCCTACTGCTGTCCCCCAAGAAGATAAGGCAGTACCCAAAAAGCTTAAGGGATAGTTGGACTTTGTGACCAGCTTCTTCTGGAAGAAGCACATTCACAAAAGCTGAAACAACCAAGAAACAGGTTTCACTGCCTTCCCAAATGAACTCTGAAGAAGCTTAGAAAGGACCACAAGATCCACTTGATGACTTCAAAATGAAAAAGAGGTCAGTTTTGAGCAGCAAATCATCCATCCACTTTCGCTGTGAGCTGCTTCTGGGGCTGAACATGAAATAAAATCCACCAGAAGAAAAGTAAAATGATAAAGCCAGAAGAGCTGGATCCAAGCAGGACTCTTTCCTCCCACCTTTTCAGCTCATGGAGATGGTCTGTACCCTGAACTTGGGGCTACAAAAAGAGGTGAAAAGTAAACGTGCAGCTCAAACCCTGCCTCCCATGCAGGGTGGCTGGTCACACTAACGTTGGGTTTGCAACACAGCATCTGTGTCTTGCAGAGGAGATTCCAGAAAAAGCCACTCTGCCTGATTCAGAGAAGGATGCTACTTGATGCAAGGTCCCAGGAGGACCACCTCATGATCAGGAGATAGCTGAGAGGAGCAACCACAGGGTGCAGGCCCAGACTCCAAGCAGGACTTGGTGAACCCTGATTCAGTCTAATGGGAGGTGTCCATGCAGGGGGTTGGATCTAGATGATCTTTAAGGTCCCTCCAACCCCAACCATTCCATGATGATGATGATGATCCCCCAAGTGGTCTGTGATGTCCAGCTCTCCCTCCCATAACCACCCCATGTACTGCCCGTGGAAAAGGGTGCCATGTGGACCTCACCTGTGCCCAGCTGCCTTCCTCTGTGTCCTAAGCGTGACACACGCAGCATGTCAACAGAAAGGACAGGTACAGTCAGTAACTGGTGGCCCTTCCCCATGAAGTGGTTGCCACGTGTGCTGGGCATGGAACCCAGCACAGTGTCACCCAGCAGGGAGGAGGGTCAGTCTCAGGGAGCTCAGCCTTGTCAACAGGCTGGTGGGGACACCCCAACCCTCCTGGGCGTGGGTTTCACCCCATCTCTTAGACAATATTAAAGGGGGAATGGATTAAAACTGGAAGAGGGGAGATTGAGGTTGGAGATGAGGAAGAAATTCTTTGGTGTGCGAGGGTGGTGAGAGCCTGGCCCAGGTTGCCCAGGGAAGCTGTGGCTGCCCCGTCCCTGGGGGTGTTGAAGGGCAGGTTGGATGGGGCTTGGAGCAGCCTGGGCTGGTGGGAGGTGTCCCTGCCCATGCAGGGGGTTGGAAGTGGGTGATCATTAGGGTCCCTCCCAACTCAAACTATTCCATGATTCTGTGATTCTATGAAGATGGAGCTTTTCTCATGGGCCTTGGGCTGGAGATGGCACAGACACAGGCTCATACATCTTTCCTGGGAAACAGGGGTAGATTCTTGGCTCCCACAAAGCCAGATGGATGCAGAGAGAGACCTCAGTTCAGGGCTCACAACCCCTTGAGGAGCTGCCCAACCCCACTTGCTGATTTTTTATGTATTTCCTGCCTTGTCAAACTGTGTTGGTTTTGCTCAACCTCACAAAACCTGCCAAGGGAAAGTGTCCCTTTGGTAACTCTGAGCTCTCCAGCCCCCAGAGGCACCCACCAGTTCCAGGTGCCCATTATGGGTCTGTGCTACTCAACCAGCAGACACAAACTTCAATAAAATGCCTAATTCACACGAAAAATCCGAAGTGCTGCCCCTGCTGTGAGACATGGACATGGGGTCATTAACTTGAAGAGAGAGGAGCATAGTCATCTACAGCTCTTCAAAGCAGCCAGAGCTTCTGGGAGCATAACCACGTCCCTCTGAGGGACCCCAAGCTATCAGACAGTGGCAGGGACAGACAGTGGGGACAATATTTGGGTGTGCTACGGTCAATGAAGATTGGATGATAACTTATTTGGGTGTAGGATGAACAACGTGGGACTCAGCCTCGTGCACCCATCTTGAGATGACTCTTGGTTTTGTCTTTCCCCTGACAACTGGCAGAGAAACTACTCTGGAAACCCAAGAAAACCCACAGGGACTCGACTGAGGGAAACACATCTGTTGGTTTCTAAGCCAGTTTTAGAAACTGTTGGGACATTAAAGGTTGAAAGATGGTTTCTGAACAGGTGCTGGCTGCTGCTGTCTGAGCTGCAGCAGAGGTCACTGCCCCCCAGGGGTGACCCACCCCCCGGGCTGACCCAGCCTCACCGTCTTGGTGGAAGTTGCCATGTTCTCCATCTCCTCGTGGGTGACCCAGACATTTCCAGAGGACTGCAGGGAAAGACACAGAGTGGTCAGGGTCACCCTGGAGTTGGGGCCTCAGTTCACAACTGTGGTGGAAACAAGCCCAGCTTGGGCTGATGGGGGCTCAGCCCACCCTTGTGCCTGGAGCCGTGCAGGGGAGACCTTGCAGGGTCCTTGCAGCTGAGGCTGGTGGCACCCACTGCCCAGAGTAGACACATGGGGACCCTTGGATGACCATGCAGCCATGGAGAGCACAGCAAGGCTGCCTTTATACTTTAGTGTTATGGAGCCTGCAGGCTTGTCTCTGACAGCAGTGACCCCAGCTGTGGCCATCTGAGGGGGACCCAGCATGCCCAGGGCTGGTCCTTCTGCTGGCTGCATTTCTGCAGATGAGTCTTGGCATTACTGGGGCACCATTAACACCTCGAGGGGTTTGGAGACCAGGACAAGACACGATCCCCCCACCCACTCCATGTTCTACACAGGGCAAGGCTGGGATCTGCAGTTGCTCTGACTTGCCTCAGGAATTTCACACTGTCCCAGGAAAGGGCTTAGGCTGCAATGCTGGAGCAAATGGTTGTGCAGAACTGAGCTGGCCCTGTCACCATGTGCTGTCTGGGTGGGATTTCATCTTCTCCAGGGCACAGCCCCTGAGCTTTGCTCTTTGCAGGCTGCCCAGCAGGGTCAGCTTCTTGCTGACAACCTCTGAGCATGAGGACAAGAGCATCTGCTGGTGCCTCAAGCCAGGAAGTGCTTCACACTTGATGGCTGTAAATTATCTTTGTGTCTGAGGACAAGTGTCTGGTGGTTTTGACTGGCCCATGGAGGAACATCATCCCCTCCATGGCCACGCTGTGACACTGGGACTCCCTGGTGGCTCCCAAAGAGCCAAGGGGAGGAAGGGAACGAGCGCTGTGCTGCCCCAGGGAGGCTCTGCTGGGGGGAAGGAGGGAGAACTTACTGTCCGTGAGGTGGGTGGTGCTGAGGGGCTGGTGAGTGAGACCATCTCCTGGATGGCCAGGCGCAGCTTCAGGCGGTGCAGGGCGTTGCTGATGCCGATCTCCCTCTGGATCTCCGTGTCCGACAGGGCCGACATGATGGCCCCGCTCTTCACGTTGGCCCGGCAAGCGGCCACGTACCAGGCTGGCATCCCCACCCAGAGCTGCCAACACAGGGCACAGCCAGTGACCACTCTGCTCACCCACCCTGACTTCCTCTGGTGGGATCAAGGCCACTCTGGTCACTCAGTGTCACGGCTGGGGATTCCTTTTTGGTTTGCACCCTGCAGAAGGGCTGTGGGCAGCCCAGCACCGCCCTGTCAGGGCAGAGGGAACCAGGACCCGAGTGCCCTGGAGCTGCAGGGAACCCACAGCCAGTGGCCCCAACATCCCCAAACCAGCAGGGGTGTTCCTGCTCCTTTCAACTCAAAGCTAAGGTGTGGGCTTGAGAAAACCCCAAACCACAACTCCCCAGAACGCCTGAGGAACTGGGGATCTGCTCTGCTCCCCTAATTTTTGCAACCACCAACCACGACCAAGCATGGTGGGATTGGGGGCTGCTGTACTGCTGCAGGGGAGCCCACCACAGACCAGCTGGGGACAATGCATGGATGTGCTCCACCTCACCTCCAGCCAGGAGACAACAGTGGGGCCATCCCAGTGAGCAAAGGGCAATCCTTTCCTTCTGGCCTCTTCCAAGAGTTCATGCCTGGAGGGAACAGAAGCAGGAGAGTGATTTATTGGAAGGTTGTGGGGAAGGGAAGACACCACAGCACTAAGAACCACCTGGTAGCAAAGCAATAAAGCTAACAGGGCTCCAGAGAGGGTGAAGAGAAGTCTTCCCAGCAATTGCCAGTCCCATGCCATGGCTTCTCAGCCAATAAGCAGGACGTTTTCTTGCTGGGGCAGTGAAGGAAATTCACTTACTTCTTCCGTAGGCGTCGATCCTTCTCAGCCTGAGCACCCAGCTTGCCAAGTCCCAGAGGGTCCTGCATGCCCACCTCCACATCGGTCAGCACCACTGTTGGGCAAGCAAGACATCCTTCAGGTCAGACTGATGTCGCCAGGGTCAACATGACAAGCCCCAGGGCCCATGTGGTCACTGCCATAGTCCCCATGCTGGGGTGCTGGGGATGCACAGGAGGTGCCAGTCCAACCCCCACCCCCAGCTCCCCTCCACCCCTGGGAATCCCAAGGGGATCCCCACCTGCCACCCCTCCCACTTCAAGATGCTCAACATTGAAGCTACAAAGGATTTCGGGGTGGAAAAGCAGCTCCCACCCAAGGGCTGTGTAAGATCAAGAAGATCCCACAGGGTGGGGAAGCAGATCTGGGGACACTGAAGATAAGTCACAGCGATGGGGGTCACTGTCCTTGCTGCATTAACGCTCACACCAGGAAGGACCACAGGGCAGGAAGCACCAGGACCCAACAGCCCTGGAGCTGCAGGGAACCCACAGCCAGTGGCCCCAACATCCCCAAACCAGCAGGGGTGTTCCTGCTCCTTTCAACTCAAAGCTAAGGTGTGGGCTTGAGAAAACCCCAAACCACAACTCCCCAGAACGCCTGAGGAACTGGGGATCTGCTCTGCTCCCCTAATTTTTGCAACCACCAACCACGACCAAGCATGGTGGGATTGGGGGCTGCTGTACTGCTGCAGGGGAGCCCACCACAGACCAGCTGGGGACAATGCATGGATGTGCTCCACCTCACCTCCAGCCAGGAGACAACAGTGGGGCCATCCCAGTGAGCAAAGGGCAATCCTTTCCTTCTGGCCTCTTCCAAGAGTTCATGCCTGGAGGGAACAGAAGCAGGAGAGTGATTTATTGGAAGGTTGTGGGGAAGGGAAGACACCACAGCACTAAGAACCACCTGGTAGCAAAGCAATAAAGCTAACAGGGCTCCAGAGAGGGTGAAGAGAAGTCTTCCCAGCAATTGCCAGTCCCATGCCACGGCTTCTCAGCCAATAAGCAGGACGTTTTCTTGCTGGGGCAGTGAAGGAAATTCACTTACTTCTTCCGTAGGCGTCGATCCTTCTCAGCCTGAGCACCCAGCTTGCCAAGTCCCAGAGGGTCCTGCATGCCCACCTCCACATCGGTCAGCACCACTGTTGGGCAAGCAAGACATCCTTCAGGTCAGACTGATGTCGCCAGGGTCAACATGACAAGCCCCAGGGCCCATGTGGTCACTGCCATAGTCCCCATGCTGGGGTGCTGGGGATGCACAGGAGGTGCCAGTCCAACCCCCACCCCCAGCTCCCCTCCACCCCTGGGAATCCCAAGGGGATCCCCACCTGCCACCCCTCCCACTTCAAGATGCTCAACATTGAAGCTACAAAGGATTTCGGGGTGGAAAAGCAGCTCCCACCCAAGGGCTGTGTAAGATCAAGAAGATCCCACAGGGTGGGGAAGCAGATCTGGGGACACTGAAGATAAGTCACAGCGATGGGGGTCACTGTCCTTGCTGCATTAACGCTCACACCAGGAAGGACCACAGGGCAGGAAGCACCAGGACCCAACAGCCCTGGAGCTGCCAGGAACCCACAGCCAGTGGCCCAAACATCCCCAAAGCAGGGATGTCCTTCCCTGCTCCTCCACCTGGCACCCCAACAGCACCCCAAAGCCAGGAGGGGTGCCAGGAGCCCCCGAGGACACCCGCCTGGTGCAGAGGGGAACGGGGCTGCTTACAGACCCTGCCCTGTGGCCCCTTCTCTGCTCAGCTGAATCAAGCGACCCTTCTCTTTTTTCCCGAACAAGCGCCCGATGGAGGATTTGATCCCCTTCCTCTTGGAGCCCTTGTGCAGGGAGTCCTGGCTGCTGGTGCTGCTGGGGTTGCTGGCCTGCTCCTCCAGCGAGCTGGGGATGGAGGAGGGAGAGGAACAGCAAAGCCTTGAGGTTATTCCTGAGCAGAGCACAAACCTCCCCAGCCCATCCCACCAGCCCACGCTTGCCCCACGTTGATCCTCAACCCAACAGGCACTGTTGGGTGCCTGGATCTCACTGGTGTGAGATCCAAAAGGGGCTCCACATACCTTTTCCCATCCTCCTGGCTTAGTGCAGGGTGGCCCAGCTTCTCCAGACGCAACGTCCTGGGTGAGGATGGGGGGGAAGTCTCACACTTGATGGTGGTTTTATCCTCTCGGCTTTCGTCCCGAGCTGCAGGCGACTGAACAAGCAGAGAAGCCGTGAGGTTGGGAGGCCAAAGCCCAGCTCCATCCTTGCCCTGCTGCCTGCCTCTCTCTTGCTCCACGGAGACGCGGCCAAAAGAGCCACTCTGGGGCTTTGCCACACTCCAGGCTTGGCCTGAACTAGAGCTCTGGCAATGGCTCGAGATGCCCAAGGAGATGGGGAGGATGCGGCCGTATGGCCAAGAGCCTGGGAACAGGGAGCAGAGGGGATGCAGCTCCACGGTCCAGGTCAGGGTGTGGGGACAGAAGCTGCTGGCCCTCAGCATGGGGCTCTGGGGAGCACAGATGTGAATGTCCCAAAAACACCCTGTTGCCAGCGGGGACACAACATTTGAGGACCCAGTGGCTTTCTGGACCTCCCCATGTCCTTCCAGCCCCCCCAGGCTGTCAGATGACACATCTCCAAACACTTTATGGGATCCCCACGGTCCTCTTGCTGAATCCCTGGGATCCCCAGCTCCATCCCGCGCCTGCTGCGCCCTGACCTGGTGTGGACAAAGCCAGGAGCAGGCTGGAAAGGGGGCTTGGACAAAAAAAACAACGGGATGGGAGCCACTCACTAGCAGTTTCCTCCGGTGCTTCCTCAAGTCGCTGGGCTGATTGCAAGGGGGAAAGCGAGAGAGACACAGAAAGGGGGGCAGTTAATGGAGAACCCCCCTCCCACAGAGCAGTCCCGGGGCCAGGCGTGCCAGCCTGGGAGACACCATCCACGGGCTCCACACCACCCTCCAGACGCGTGGCTCCCATCCCAGGCAGCCACCCCTCGCCCAGCCCCCCCAGGACCCCCTGTGTCCCTCCTCACCAACGTCATGATCCCCATGCGGTCGAGGTCCTGGGCGGCGCTGCGGGAGGACAGCTTGGGGGTGGAGCGGCCGCTGAGCGGGGGGGAGGGGCTGGCCAGGGACAGGGCTGTCAGTGAGGTGGGGATGGAAGCCCTCTTGCAGAGCTGGGTGAGGTTCAGGCCCTCCATGCTGCCGCTCGTCACGCGGGTCTCCAGCTCCTCCGCCCGCAGCTCCGTTGACTCCTTCTCCTCTTGGATCATCCTGGGGGGGGGGAGCAGAGGGGGGCTCAGGGTTTGGGGCTCCCAACCCTTCTGGGGAGTCACCTCACACCTCCCCAGCTGGAGGATTGCCCTACCACGGGGAAACGCTCCACAGGTGCTGTGACTCAAGCCCCTGATCTCCAGGAATGGCAGCAAGATCCATCAGGATCCACACAAATCACAACTGAGTTCTTTTAATATTAGTGGAGGGCTTTTTTAGCTCTGATGATCCTTTCTGTGAGCAAGCACTGGTGCAGGTGTGAGACAGGGAGCTGCACTCATCAGGAACCTGCACCAAGGACTGAGTTTCCCAGATGAAGCTGGACCAAGACCTCAATTTTAGGGCCACCTCCTGGAAGTTTGTTTCCCCCCTGGAGCCGTTTCAGAGCAAGGCAGGGGTGGGTTTTGGCTATGGTTGCTACCTGATCTCCTCGTTAATGGCATCCAGCTGCTCCTGGAGCATCATGGCCAACGTCTGGGCATCTGAGTGTCCACCAGGAGAGAGCACATCCATGGAGCTGAAGAGGGTCTCACGATCATCCTCGTCCACGTCTGAGATGTCGGGGTCGCTGTCGAAGGCGTGAGGCCCCGTGGCCAGGACACTGCCTGCCTGGGCCTGCTCCCAGTCCTGGGGGAATAAGGTTCACTGGTCCTACACAGCATACCCACCTCCCCAACACCCAAACTGGAGACCTCCACTCCACAGTCACACCCCAACACCAGCCCAGGGGGGAAACCCTTCCCCACCCATGCACCAGGTGAATGAAATGGCTCCTCAGACACGGGGACCACATGCAAGGCAGGAGGAGACCCCAACCCTCCCCTTGACTCCCTGCTGCCATGAAGATGATCACCTTGGCTGGCTCCTCTCTCCGGGCAGCAAACCTTCCCTTCTGTGCCCGAGGCAGCCCCGGGGCTGCCCCGAAGGGCTCGGCAGGAGCGTGGACCACAGCGCTGAGCGGGAAGCGCAGGTCGGTGGTACTGCCCATGTGGGACCTGGGGAGACAGAGCCTTGCTGGGGACATTTCTCCTTACAAGGATGTCCTCCCTTTGCAGCCCCAGCTGGCTGGGTAGAAGAGGAGGGTGAGGCCCCTCTGGGATGCCCAGCCCTATGATGCCTGCCTGCTCTGCATGAAATGATGCACAACCAGGCTCCAGAAATAGGTGCCTCATTCCCACTGGTCCTAGAGATGTGTTCCCAGACTGTAGGAAGCTCTGGACCCTACTCTGCTACTACCTCAGTCCCCACTAGGGCATCCAACCAATTCTGGCCAAAGCCATCCTGTGCAATAGGTCTGGGAAGCCTTGGGCTGAACAGTCCCCTCCTGTTCTCCCCTCTAGAGAACAGTTTCCACCTCCCAAGAGGTACAGCACATCTTTTGTCTGTCTTCTCCATCCCCAAGGTACAGAACAAGGGCCAGCCAGGGAGCTTTTCTCCTTCTTTTTATGTTTTCTTCCTCATTTTCACCAAAAAAACCCTAAGGAATAAAACCCCATTTGAAACAGATCTTCCAGATGTGGGGATATGAGCATGGCTTGGGATCTCCCAGCAGAAACTGGCTGGGACTTCATCCTCCTCCTCCCTGCTCGGGAGCAGGTCCCCACGCCAGGCAGAGCAACGTGGTGACTGGACCTGAAGCCACTTCTTGCCACTCGTGTATCTCCACACTGCCTGGTTGCTCCTCCTCACTCTGAAGACCCAACCATGCAGCTGAGCAAAGCTCCTTCCCAGCCCATGGCATCATGACCCTCTCCATGTGTTGCCACAGGAGGCACGAGGGTTTTGTAAGATGACAAAAGCTGTTGTCCAGGGCTGAGCAGTGGTTTTCCACCATGGTGAGTCTGGTTTCCAGTGCAGATACAGATCTGAGCTCCTCAGCCCAGGATTCCACTGAACACAGATGAAACCACCAACACGAGCAGCTTGGCTGGGCATCAGCTCAGAGTTTGCAGAGGAAGGCACAGCCCAAGTTTCAAGAGGATTTAAGCTCAGGAGCCACAGACAAGCAGTTCCAGAGCTAAACACAGATAAAGGAGCCTCAGACAGGAGCTGACATTTCACTGAGGGGATTATTCTGGCCTCTGTAACTCAAAACTTGCTGCTGAGTTTTCCTCCAAGGAATGAAAAAAACCCCAAGAAATATTGTCCAGCCCATTCTCACAGGCCCGTAAAAGAAGTGCCAGAGAGGTCACATAAAAGAGGTCTCATATGTGCTCCAGACACTCCTCTTTCCTTCATCCTCAAGCTCTTCCTCACTGTCCCTGTTCCTTCTCTCCATGACAGACTTGGGTCCAAGAAATATTGTCCATCCCATTCTCACAAGCCCATAAAAGAGGTCCCACAGAGGTCCCATAAAAGAGGTCTCACACGTGCTCCAGACACTCCTCTGTCCTTCATCCTCACAAGCTCTTCCTCACTCTCCCTGTTCCTTCTCTCCATGACAGACTTGGGACCTCCAGGCCCTCCCCTCTCTGCCACAGCTGCTGATAGGTTTGAACCTGGTTCCACCAGCTCATTTCCATATTTTCCAGCCCTCCTGAGAGCTGAATTTTCCCTGCTGGTGGCCACTCTCCTTGATCCCTCACTGCTTCTAACCCACATGGCAAGTGCTCAGGAGAGGACGAGGTCTCCCAGGTGGCCACAGCATGGCAGGGGGGTGCACGTTATGGTGTCACCCTCCTTTCTCACCCCCTGCTTTCTTGCAGTGGTGCTGGGTGCCCTGGTCAGTGCTGGAGGCTGAGACCCAATGGACCCATCTCTCCTCGTGGTGCTCTGGGCTGGGACCTCCTCATCTCCCAGCTGACTTCATATGAAAGGGGGTGGGAAGACCATTGTACAGCACAGAGGAAAAATGGGGGGGTTCATTCTCCTTTGCCTGCAACACCTCCAAAGAGGTTCCCCCTTCTCCACCAGCCCATCCCCTGCACACCCCAGGGGTGTTTGGTGAGCATCCAGCTTTCACAGAAAATTAAGCCCTAAGCCCTGTGTGCAGGAAAAGAAATGATGCCCAGTGATGCTTCACCCTTAGAAAAGCAAATTTGGGGGCCATTCAGTCAGGCTGGGCTTTTCTCAACAGTCTGTCCCACCCCAGGACAAATCCATGGTGGGGCCAGCACAGCTGGAGCTGCCCCTGCAGTGATGAACCCCCTGCAGCCCAGCATGGAGCTTTGGTGAAACCAAAGATGCCATCAGCATTTTGGGGTCCTAAAAGCAAAAAGCCCCCAAAGCCACGGGTGCAGGATGCAAGCAGGGTGCCCAGGGGCTGGGGGGCTTTGGCTGGGTGGCCCTTACCTTGTGTGCACAGTCTCCACAAACGTCCCACTCCTGGTTTTGAGCTGGTCGACCTCCAGCCTCAGTTTGTCGATCTCATCAGACAAACGTCGCTGCTCAGGGGGAGACAAGAGACAGGCAGGGGTTGGTTTCACTCTGAGGAGCAGCCAGGTTTGGGGTGATCCACTTCCTTAGCCACTGCCAGGTTTATATTCCCTTTAAAGATCCCCATTCCAGGTTTAAAGCACCTTTGACAGGTGGATAAAGAAACGGCTCATGCAGGCAGCAGGGAGTGAGGGAGGGACAGGCAGGACAGATGGACACACGTGTGCTCAGAGTGATGCTGGTTGGAGAGATGAAGGAAACTCAGCCCCACTAGGATGCTCCTCTGGTTTTGCTCCAGGCTGCACATGGGTGTTGGCCTGGGCAAAGGAGCAGCAGGGAGGGACCCACCAGCCAAACCTGCTGCTGCCCCCGTCCCTCCTGCCACCAGCCCCATCATCATCAGGAACCTGCACCAAGGGAGGCTGTGGGTGGGCAGGGAGGCAGGAGAGATCTGATCCTCCAGGCATGGCAGGACCCAGTCCCACGGGCAAAGAGGCTGAACAGGGTGGGCAACGTGCAGGCAACATCATGCCAGTCTCTGAGTTTCACCTCTGCCCATGGCTGGGAAGCACAAGCAGTGCTGGCTCATCTCTGCTGCAGGCAGGGAGCATCTGGGAGGGAAAACACCCTGGGAAAGGGGGGAAGTCTCCCAACCCCCCCAAGCATGCATGAGACTTGGGGCATGTCCCCAGGGCTCCAGTTGTGTCAAAAAACTGCAACCCTCCAGCTTTTCAGCACAGGCCAAGGTGCACTCATGTTGCAGAACCTACTTAGATGCTTTATCTGAGAGCAGGAGAGGTGTGAACACCTACAGGGCCTTCTGCAAGCTGGGCATGGAACAGATCTTCCCCCCAGATGGAGTAAGAGGGTCGAGAAAGGGACGTGGCTGTGAGAGCAGCAGCACTGCCCCTCACAGCCAGGCTGCTCCTAGGAGCAGGGGGGTGAACCCTCCTCTAGACATGCAGAAAAAGCCCCCCTGGCCAGTTCTGTCCTCAGCAGGGACTGGGGATGGATGAATCACAGAATTATTAAGGTTGGAAGGGACCTTAAAGATGATCAAGTTCCAACCCCCCTGCCATGAGCAGGGAACCACCAGACCAGGTTGCATAAAACCTCATCCAACCTGGCCTTAAAACCCTCCAGGGATGGGGCATCAACAACCTCCCTGGGCAACCCATCCCAGTTCCTCACCACCCTTAGAGTGAAGAATTTCTTCTTAATATCTCACCTAAATCTCCCCTCTCTCAGTTTAAAACCATCACCCCTTGTCCTGTCACTGTCTTGTCTGATGGAAAGTCCCTCCCCAGCTTTCCTGGAGCCCCTTCAGGCACTGGAAGCTGCTCTAAGGTCTCCCTGGAGCCTTCTCCTCTCCAGGCTGAACACCCCAACTCTCCCAGCCTGGCTCCAGAGCAGAGCTGCTCCAGCCCTGGGATCACCTTGGTGGCCCTTCTCTGGCCCCTCTCCAGGGGCAGGATCCCCCCTGTCCTGCTGGTCACACTTCTGGTGATGCAGCCCAGGCTGGGTTGGCTCTCTGGGCTGTGAGCACACCCTGGGGGCTCACGTCCAGGTTCTTATCAACTACCACCCCCAAGCCCTTCTCCTCAGGGCTGCTCACAATCCTGGATTGGTGCCTGGGGTTGCACCGACGATGAGCGTGAGAGAAACATGGAGATGGGACTGAACATGCCTGGTAGGGAACCAAACTGGGGGGCTCTGGGGAGGTGGGTGGCATCTGCCATCCAGCCACGGTGTGGGGCAGTTTGTGGCCTCCTGCTGCTGGCTGCTTTGGGATCCCAGCTCCTCCAAACCTTGGGTACTTTAGGAGGTGCCACTGCCACCAGCCAGAGATTAGGAGCAAGGAGTCCCTCGGGCAGGCTCCCTGCAGCAGCATTTACCTTGTCGTGCTGGTGCTCCTCTATCTGCTTTTGGGTATTCTCCAGCTCTTGTAACAATGTGTTCTTTGCAAAACGAAATAAAAGAAAAGGGAACAAAAATGGGAAAGAAAAAGAGAGAGACCGTTCAGGAAACGGCCACGTGGCCTCCTGGGAATGGCCAGAGTGGAACTGCTGGGTGGGTGGGGTGATGGACACCTGGCAGGGGGTGGCAATGGCTCCCTCATCATCCCCTCACCTCTAGCTGCCCAGGTCTTCTCTGCAAACCTCCTGCTCCTCAAGCAGAGCTGCCAGTTCCTGTCCCACACTGGAGCCAGGGCACAGCCACGGAGGGCAAGAGGCAAGTGGAGACTTGGTGGCAAGGGCTTGAACTTTAGGAAATGTGCCCGAGAGGAGATCAACTCCTCAAGCACCTGGATAAAGGGCAAAAATCCCCTACATCTAAGCTAGGGAATAGGCAGGAGGAAAAGTAAATGCATTTGCAATTGTCTGATCTAGTGGGTTTTTTTGGGAGGTGCTGGCAGCCAAACAGCATCATTGTTGCCCACAGAAGAGCTGGAGAAACTCTCCAGGTGAGGCAGGGCCAGCAGCAGCTGGGGAGCAGTCAGTGTCCCCTCACAAGGTGCCACCACCCTGACCCCTGATCCTTCCTGGGGTGGGAAGTTGGACTCAGCCCCCTGTGTTGGGTCCTGCTTTTATCCAGAGCCACTCAGGCATCTGCTGAATGATGGGACAGAAGATGCAGAGCAGCAGGGAGACAGACCTTGTCCTGCAGGGATCAGCTGGGGGTGCTGTGACCTGCCAGGGGAAACCTGCTCCCTGCAGGAGCCCAAACAGAGGTGGGCAATCAAGGGCTGACCTCCCACTGGCTTTGCCAGGTTCATCTGTGCTCTGAGCCACTTGCTCTCCCACCTAATTGCATTCACGCTGGGCCAGCAGTTCCAGCTGGTTCCTCAAGGGAGAGCCCAGTTGCCCAGGAGGGGTGGGAGCTGCTCATGGACTCTGCTCTGGCTGGGAGAAGGCAGATTGGTCCAGGCATGGGGAACAGGAAGGTTTGGAGGCAGCACATGGAGGGGATGGGCAGGTGGGAGGGGATGAACACTGCATTTTGTGCATTTTCTCCCACAAAACCCAGCAGGTTTTGCTCCAACAGCCGGACAGGGGCTGAGGCTGCAGCAGGTGAGACACAGGGAAGTGAGGGAGCAGAGCAGGACAAATCCTGCTGCTGCCAGAGGTGACAGGTGGTGGCGAGGGGGTCTGAGTGGGCAGGGGCTGATCAGAGGTGAGGGTAGGATGCAGAGCACCTGCCCTGCACTCCCACCAGCCCCAGCACCCTGCATGTCAGCAGCTCTCCATCCTTGCACAGGTACCTCCAAACCCCGGCGCTGTGGCTGGCCCAGGCTCCATGCTGGGGGGTCTGTGGCCCCCTCCACCTCCCGCCAGCCCCCCAGGGGACCCTCTGCCCCCCAGCCACTACCTTCTCCTCCAGGGCTGCCATCCTCTCCTTGAGGTGCAGCTGCAGCCTCTCGTTGGACTCGCTCAGCAGCCGGTCCACGGTGTCCGAGAGCCTCTTGTTGTGCTCCTCGTTCATCTTCTCCCGCTGCCGAGCCTGCAGGAGCCACCAGACACCTCAGAGCCACCTGCCACGAGGGGCTCACTGCCCTCCTGACATCCCGAGCCTGCTGCTGGTGTCACAGCTGGTCCCCCAGGCCCAGCTTTTGGGGATAAATCCACCCCTCCCAGCACAGACCGGTCCCTGCACTGGGGCTCTACTGGTCTCTGCCACTTTCCAGCCAGGGATCATCAGGAGAGAGGACAGGATCCGAGAGCTCCTGCCTGTCCCTGTGCATGTTCCAGGGACAGCCACACTGGGGGCACATTCCAGATCCCAATGAATGCAGATCCTCTGGGTTTGCAAAGGTCCATCCTAATCTCTGCCCCAGGCCAAAACAAGCAGGGGCCTCCCCAAGGGCACACATTGTAGTGAGAAATTACATCTGAGAAATGGGCACCACAACCTCCTGCATGGCTAAGGAGCAGAGCTGGGATTGTGCCTCCTGTGATGCACCAGCTTGGCCTCCCTGTCTTTCCTGGGGGCAGCACCCTTAGGTCTTGCCCTACTGCTGATTCAGGCTGGGTGGAAAAGCAGCTGGATCCTCCACCCCTGAATTTGGGATACCAGCTTGGCCCAGGGGGTGACGCTGGGAGAGAAGTGGATGTGGCCCACTCACAGCAAGACTGGGATGACTGAGAGAGAGGGAAATCACAGCAGAGAATGTGGTGAGCTCCTGAGTGGCTCTAGTTTGAGAGATCCTGGATGGGAAAGGATTAACCAGGCTCCTCTGCCCAGCCTTCTCCAGGGCCAGCAGCAAATCAGCCCCTCCACGGTGTGCCCAGCCACCCAGCCACCATGGCACGGGCAGCCAAGGCTGGACCAGGACCCACAAGGACCCCTGGTCCAGGCTGAGCAGCACTTACCCTGGCCAGCTCCTGGTTCTTCTCCTCCAGCTGGGTCTCCAGCTGCCGGAGGTGCTCCTCGATGCTCCCGTGCCTCTCTTCTGCCTAGGAAAAGCAGAGCAGCCCTCTCGGGTGATGCTCCCTAGCAACAGGCAGACCCTCCTGCATCCCTCCCTCCATCCCTGTATCCACATCCTTCCCTGGGATGTGTTGCTCCCTCCCACTGCCCGCATCCCCCCTGTGGGTCACTGCTGAGAGCCCAAAACCAGCCATGCTAGCAAGGTGATGGGAGACAGAGGTGCCCTGTGGGTGACTTGGCACCTGGGAAGGGCAGGACTGGCTGTGTCCACACCTCCCTCCAGCCCTGTACCCTCCCAGCTCCAGCCTGGGTCCTTCCTCTTCCTCCTCATCCCAGAGCCATCCCAGCACAAGCTGAAGGTCAGCCACACAGGCAGGGTCCTCTCTGCCTTGCAGAAAGGAGCTGGGGGGCAGGAGCAAAGCTCCCGTGCGCAGGACATGGGGGAAGCTTCAAAACCCGTGGCTTGGCCCTGCAGCCCTGGGGAGGCACAGGGCAGCAGAGCCCGGGGCTGGGGATGAGGGGCTGCTCAGGG